TGTGACGACTATCGGTCACTTAACGCAGTGACTCGTTTCGATAGTTATCCCATCCCGCATGTGCATGACAATACGGCTTCACTTCATGGCACAACTATTTTTTCTAAGATCGATCTGGTGCGAGCTTATCATCAGATCCCGGTCGCCACTGAAGATGTATTTTTCTAAGATCGATCTGGTACGAGCTTATCATCAGATCCCGGTCGCCACTGAAGATGTAAAAAGACTGCTGTCAGGACTCCTTTCGGTCTGTTTGAGTTCCTACGTATGCCATTTGGTTTGCGAAACGCTGCTCAGACTTTCCAGAGGTTAATCGACAGTGTAACTGGAGATTTAGATTTTGTTCGCGTTTACATTGACAATTTACTTACTGCCTCTTCCAATGTAGATGAACATTATCATCATTTGACCTTGCTCTTTCATCGTTTATCTGATAATAGCATTGTAATTAACCCCGACAAATGTGAGCTTGGCAAAAAGGAACTGATTTTCTTTGGCCACAAGGTCACACTTGAGGGTATTTTACCATGCGAGGATAAAGTACGTGCTATCAGAGAGTACACTTTACCTCAGTGAAAGACCTGAAGGCGTTTTTGGGTTTATTGAATTTCTATAGACGATTCATTCCACACGCCACTCAACGACTACCACCTCCTACGAACCTATTTCAAGGTAGTCCACGTAGGCTCATGCTTACGAATGCCGCACGAGTAACATTCAAAGAGGTAATGACATATTTAGCGCAGATCACGCTGCTTTTGCATCCTGTACCGTCAGCCACGCTTAGTATAGCGGTTGACGCCTCACAATTTGCACTTGGAGCGGTCTTGCAACAGCAGGTTTCTGGGTTTTGGCAACCTCTTGAGTTGTACTCTCGACGCCTTACACCCACAGAAACCAAATATAGTGCTTTTGAACGCGAGCTACTGGCAGCTTACAACGCCATTAAGCATTTTAGACATGCAGTCGAAGGTCGAGATTTCACCCTATATACGGACCATAAGCCTCTTACATACGCTTTGCATACTAAGTCTGACCGTTACTCACCCCGAGAAACCAGACACTTAGACTATATTTCACAGTTCACGACTGACATTCAGCATGTCCAAGCAAGTTGAATTGTCTTGTGGACGCTTTATCACGTATTCACGTTAATGCCCCGTTAGCCCCGTTAGCCCCTACCACCGCGGATGTTCTATATTGTTGTGCTTCACGTTTTCTTCTTATCCCAGTTGTATCCTCTTAGGCAAGATAAGAGTCAGAAAAAAACTTCTCCCCGTGTTCGACGAGAGAACTCACATTTCGAAGCGTTCCTCTGTTGGGGTAGTAAGTAGATGAAAGGACCTAACAGTGATTCCAGACACAGTTCTACGCGTGTAGTTCGGGAAATAAGTCTAACCAACTCTTATCTAGCTCCATTTTGAGACGGATTCTGCGATACACACACCTCAGAGCAATGCTGGTATCTCCTGAAGCATTTACTTTTGTTCATTCCTCGTAGTGTCTTATCCACTTTCAGCGTCTCCTTAGGTTGACCCACAAATGAAAATCATGCAGTGATAGACTAGACCGCTCCATTCCGCCTGTTCGCCGAGCTTGGTAATTTGTTTGCAATCGTTTCATCACCGATTTGAAGAAGGTGCGCGCTTATGTAGCCTCGCAGAATACGCTCCAGGAGCTTAGCAACGATGCTGGTGAAACTGATTGGACGATAGTTAGACGGATCCGATTGTTTACCCCCTTTAAAGATTGGGACAACTGTGGCATATTTCCAGTCCTCCGGAATCCGGCCAGTGTTCATTGTGACTATTTGGGGGATCATTAAGGATTCTATCGATTTTCTGACGGCTGGGTGGATATTATCTGGACCCGCGGATTTGGAGAATTTGAGAGTCTTAAAGAATCTTTCCACATCCGGTGTAGAGATCACCATATCTGGCATGTCGCTCACCTGATCGAGGGTAGGGCGTCCAGGCTATCCTGGCGAAAGACCTTTTGGAACGAGGCGAGGAATGAGCCAGCAGCTTCCTTGTCGGTGGTCAAGAGTTTTCCATTAATGTGAAGGGCATTGCCGATCACCTTTCTTGATAAGGACCGGGCTTGAGCATAACCGACTTATCTTTTGGGGTGATTTTAGGCCTCGTTGGCTATGGCTAGTTCAAACTTAAGTCTAGCTGCCCGTGCTACTTTGATAGCTTTATAGCGGAAACGTTTAAAGCAAGCGAAGAGCAGGGGGCTTCGCCGCCTGTTGAACTCCATCCTTGCCCGATGTTTCCTCTTAAAAGCTCAGCAGACTCTAGGTCGGAACCAAGGTTTGTGTCCCCTTATCCCCGTTGATTTCATAGACACGTAGACCTCCGTGAGGAGTACAATGTTGTCCCTTATTCGGTTCCAGGTGTCCTCTATGTAGCTCAGATTGTCCCAGCACAGTCCCTCCGCTCCGTTGACCGGGTCTTCAATGTTGATGTGGAATATTCGAGTTCCAGTTTTGGGCTTCGGGGTTTTTACTCGGTGAAAATTGTCCGTCTCAGGGTGATGGAGTCCGTAATCTTTTGGTGGATACCAATGAAAACGAACTGCAAATGCCAATCGTGATGGAGGACGAGGTACGAATCGAGCTCAGAAGCCTTTGTAAGCATAAGGTAGCGGGTCATGATGCGATCCAGCCAACTATCGTCCAGCCACTAGCTGAGGTCATACTAGGACCTATCACTGACCTGTCAAGGCATCACTGAACTCCATGGTAGTGCCCGAGGACTGGCGGAATGCATCCGTCGTAGAAATAAACAAATCGGGGTCCAGACAAAAGGCGGAAAACTAAAGGCCGATCAGCTTAACATCAGTGTAGTGCAAAGGCGTGGAACGAACAGTCAGAAGACACATTTGCGCGCTTCTGGTTACTCATAGACTTCTATCTCCTGCACAGTATAGGTTTACCAGAAATAAGTCGCGTTTAACCAATCATTTTATGTTTCTGGACGAAACGTCATGTCTTATAGATCAGAGCAGGGCAGCGGAGATATGTCAATCAGACTTCAGCAGGGAATTGGAATCGGTGAGTTCTACACTGCCTCATTAGAAAACACTTCTTCATCTTGTCTTAATTGTTTTTGATCTACCTCTCCCATTGGCACTTGCGGGCCAGCCAGCGTTGTTC